AAAAAAAACATTTTTATTCATTTCTACTGCTTTTTTGAAGTTCATGCTATTTATTTATACTAGGTAGTTTCATCTCCCCTGATCATCTATTACGTACTTCATGAATACCGGGCTTATTTTTCCACGCAGTTTTTCAGGTGAGGCAAAAAGGCCAAAAAAAAAAAAAAAAAAACTATTTTGATCCTAGAGTGAAATCAGGAATCATGGCAGAGACTTGACAGGATGTTGACAGGAATTACTTAATACTAATATAGATGTATATTGTTTTGGCTAAGTGCCGTTGAGATGGTTCTGACTGATAGAGATCCTGTATATGGTTTCCTAGGAGCTATTGTGGGTTTGAACTACCAACCTTGCAGTTAGTAGACAAGAGCTTATCCTACAGCACCACATCAGGACTCCTGGAAAATCTCAGACAACAAATATTTTTTTCTCCAATTTTACTATATGCTGTTGTTATTGAGTCAATTCCTACTCATTGTGAGCCTGTATAGCATTTCCAAGGAGCAGCTGGTGGCTTTGAATTGCTGATCTTGTGGTAAGCAGTCCAATGCTTATCCTACAGTGCCGCACCAGTATAGAGGTGTGAAAACAAGAAGGTTATTGATGGCAGGATTTCTGATTATATTGCTAACCATATGCCCTGATATTTATATTTTGATGCCCAGAGTTTTTGTTTATCAAAAAATGTAAGGGAAAGCATTTAACATCCTTGTGACCAAGGTACCTTTTAGGGTATTAATTAATAATCAAGGTGAAATCCCTTTTAGAGAGCGACCTTTAGAGTCCAGCTATTACAATATTTTCATTCCTGAATAGTATCATTTTCTATTCATAGTCTGTTAGATAAGTTATTTGTGGTATATATACAATATACTGTTTTTCTCCAGGACTAGCAAGTCTTTGCCAATGCAGATTGATGGGGAACCATGGATGCAGACCCCGTGCACAGTGAGTAAAGAGTAGTAGAGATGCTGTTTTATTTTCACTTTCCAGATATCACATAATCTTATAAATAAGTTATCACAAATTGGAAATTGGTCATTCCTCCAGAGCATTTAATCTTTTACCTCTTGACTGCTTCAGGAACCATCACAAGTATACCTACATATACGCAGATGACTTTTGGGTTTTAGGCATTATATGCTCCTGACAATGATTGTGTTCCTTTTGAATGTTGCATTTGCATAAGTGTAACTTTAATATCAAGGAACTCTGGTAGTGCAGTGGTTACGAATTGGGCTGCTAACCTCAAGCTTGGCATTTCAAAACTACCAGCCATTCTGAGGGAGAAACATGAGGCTTTCTGCTCCCATAAGGATTTACAGCCTCAGAAAACCTGTGTAGGGTCACTATGAGTCAGAACCAACTCCACAATACTTAACAACAACCAACTTTAATATCAGATATCAACTATAAAACCTACAGCTAAAAAAATAAAATTTATAGCATTTCTCTTAAACTCTCTTGTAATTAATTCATAGCACCTTATGTGAAAATTGTTTGTGGAACCTTCAGACTTGAATTGATTACTCATGTGTTTTTTTGTCTCCATTCAAGAATGTTAAGATTTTCTTTTTGATATAAAAATTCTTTTTATTTTTTTATCATAGTTATTTTCTCCATAATGAAATATTATTAGCTCAGTTAGACATTTTGACCAAAACAAAGCAAAAACAAAGGCTCTAATTTCATTGTAAACTGAAACTTTTTCAGATGTTAAATATATACCAGAAACTGTTTTTAGCATATGGAATAACACAGTAAACAAGATTAACAATAGCATTGCCTTCAAGAAACTTACATGGTAATAATAGAAACAGACAGATAACAAATATAACTTCAGATTAATAAAGTAATGGGGAAAAAAAATAAGGTGAACTAGTGACAAGTGAGTGAGAAGGAATCTATTTTAGATAAGCTTATCTGGAATTTTCTTTCAAAAGGCAAAATCTCAGTGTGTGCAAGTTTTTAGACATGTTTACAATTATAAGAAGAAATGTAAAGCCAACATGACCAAAACATTTTGAGGTAGAGAGAGAGTGAAGAGATGAAGCATAAAAGTTAGACATGGGACAGATCACGTAGAACAAATGATGTTCAAAGATTAGTATATGGTTCTAAGTGCAGTAGAGCTCCTCAAGACTTTTAAGTGTAAACTTATTAACATTTTTAAGTCCACTTTTGCTGCTAAATAAAGAATGAGCAACAGCTGGGAGAGGGTCTATCCCAGTAGCATGGACTGGACAGATGGTGGCAGGGTAGAAGAAGGAAAATGGATGAAGTAGGGCTACATTCTGGAGAAATAAAAAGCAGAATTTTTCATGAGTTCTTGGATCTATATTACCTCATTTCTGTGAACAATGTATCATGTACTGAGATATATTTGTACATAATATGCATTCACTAAATATTTACAAAACTTGAATAAATAGATCACATCATTTTCATACAAAAAAATAACAAAACCTGAGGTTTGGGTAAGTGTAATAACTTGCCTAAGAGTCAGGTAGTTAGCAGACACGGTACTCAAGTCCAGTGCTCTTTGATTCCAACAACTAGATTAAATTATTTTAGCTACAGGCCCCAAAGAGCAATTTGCCATCTAAGAGAACATTTTAGCTTTCCAAAAGGTTTGCTCTGCAGCTGTTGGTTCAAACTTTGTGTACAGCACACAAACATGACTTTTATACTTTTATTTTTCAATCTGACAATTTTTAAACTATCTAATTTCTGATGTGTTTTTATTTTTGTTTTATAATATTCAAATGATTTTTTCCTATAATTGGAAGTAGATCTAAAAACTTTTGTAGACTGACAACTTCTTCTGACTTCTGCTAACTTTATACTTGATTTCAAATGTCTTTTTAAATAGTTCATTTTCTACTTTTATTACCATGTGTACATTGTCATTTTTTTTTTTTTTTTTAAGTTTTTATTGTGAATTGAGTGAAAGTTTACAGGGCAGATCATCAGTTTTACATTCAATAAATCCTATACTTGATTTCATTACAATGATTATAATCCCCTCCATGTACTATTAGTTAACAGTGTTTCTCTCTGTTCATTTTAGTTTTTGTTTTATTTTGTTTTTTTAACACTCAGGCATATATAATAATTTAAACCACCAAAGGGCACATTCTGCAAGTCGGCCTCCTGGCCGCCAGCTCTCAGTCCCTCTCTTTCCCAGAGTCCAGAGTCCTCAACTGCTCCCTCACTCCATGTCCCTATCTCTGCCCCCATCTCTGATGTTACCGCTTCTCTGGATAAGGGCCCGCATTCTGCTTGTGCTCTTCTCCCTTGATGGTCCTAGGGTTCTCTGTTTCTTGACTATAAGGTTAACTACTCCCCCATTTTGTTACAAAACTTCTACCTTTACAATTGTGACCATCGCAATTTGTCATGATAACAATTGGTCACTATTGAATCATAAGAATCTTATCCCCATTCCTTTTTACCAGACCCATCTAAACAAGAGGAAAACTACCCATTGGGGATTCTAGCTTTCCCCTGACACTCTTACACTAAATTCCTTATTGAAACCTTGCAAGGAAGTCACTTTGTGTCTTTATTGTCCCCTCATTTTAGGCAGCCAAGTCTAAGTTGCCCGTCCCTATTTACCCTGCATACAGTGATACTTGTGTGAAGACTCCTCCCTCTCTGTTGGTATTTTGAGCTACTATCTCCATGATTATAGGTCAAGTTCATCAAATTGTAGCAATTTACCCTTGTTTCCTTTATCAAAAATTGTTTTGTTTTGTTTTTGTTTTATCTTCTCTTGTAGGGTTCTGAAAATCAAGCCATCAAGGCTAGGTCAAATGGGTACTGTCTGAAGGTTGGGTGTTCTTGTGCGTCTCCCCTCACTTCATATCAGCTGGATATTTCACTCTCATATCTAGCCCTCTGTGGCTATGTCCTTGTCCATGGGCTCAGGTGTGCCCAGGTTTCACCACACGTTACACCAACTAGCCATTCCTCTTCTCTCATCTCCAGGTCAACAGGAGTCTATGGAATGTAGTTGAACTCAGTCCCTTTCTTCATTGCTGCCTTTCTTCCTCTCCCATTCACTAGTAGACCAATGTGGTTGCCAGCAAGCTTACATGCCTGCTCATGCGTTCCCTTTGAGTTTCAATCTTAGAGCGGGTTTTGTACTTAAGGTACTTGATTGCTTGCCTTGATGGCTTTCTGGCAAACAACTTGCTTATTCTTGTAGTAGACAATCATACTGCTGTTTTTGTTTTGCCAAAGTAGATTGATGGGGATCTCTCTTTGAAGATGTGTCTTCTCTCACTCTAGCTGTTGCAGGCTGGTCTGCTTTTCCTTTCTAGTGTGAATGTCTCACCTCAGAAGGTTCTGGATGGGGCTCAGGATTCCACCTAAGGTCTTATAAACTGCAAAGTCTCTGCAAGAGGCCTGTTTCACTGGGCAACTTTTAGAACTCCTTTTAGGTATTCTAATTTCTGTATTCTCAATTCTGTCCCGCTGATTGATGTATCTTACATTGTACTAGTACCAGACTGTTTTGATCACTGTAGCCATGTAGTAAGTTTTGAAATCAGGGAATGAGAAACATCCAACTTTGTTTTTCTTTTTAAGCAGTGCTTTGCTTATCCTGGGCCTTTCCTTTCCATATAAAATTTGTAATTGTTTTGTCCATCTCTCTAAAGAATGTTGTTCGAATCTGGATTAGGAGGATTGCATTATTTGTGTAGATTGCTTTGGGTAGTATTGACATTTTCACAATGCTAAGTCTTCCTATTCAGAAGTATGGTATATTCTTCCATTTTTGTAAGTCTCTTGTTTTCTTATCCATTCTGCCTCTATGTCTCTTAACTGGTGCATTTAATCCATTTACATTCAGTATAATTATTGAAAGGTGTGGATGAGCAACTTGCTTGTTCTTGTAGTAATCAGTTGGACTGCCGTTATTGTTTTGTGTTTTATCTGTCATGCTTTCTTTCAAGAAGTATCTTCTGTTCTCCTAGCCATTAGAGGCTGTTCTGCTTGTCCTTTCCAGTGGAAATTTCCTACCTCAGAAGATTCTGGATGGGGTTCAGGATTCCACCTATGGTCTTATGTAATGCAGAGGCTCCACAAAAGGCTCCTTCACTGGGCATGTTGTAGCCCCATTTTTAGGTATTTCAATCAGTTATAGGCAGAAGATGGACTTACAAGCTTTTATGGTGATATTTCTGGCTATTCCTTTCTCTCCCCCTCAAGTGTCTATTTTATAACGGTATGCCAGGGAAACCAAGATTTAAAAGACAGCCAAGTGCCTTTCCAACCTGATTCTATCACTATGGCTCTCACAAAGAAGGGTGGCGAGAAGAAGAAGGGTCATTCTGCTATCAATGAAGTGATGACCAGAGAGTACACTACCAACATTCACAAGGACATCCATGGATAGGCTTCAAGAAGCATGCCCCTCGAGCACTCAAGGAGATTTGGAAATTTGCCATGAAGGAGATGGGAATACCAGACGTTCTCATTGACACCAGGCTCAACAAAGCTGTCCGGGTCAAAGGAATCAGGAACGTCCCGTATCGTATTCGGGTGTGGTTGTCCAGAAAATGTAATGAGGATAAAGATTCACCAAACAAACTCTATACACTGGTGACCTATGTGCCTGTCACCACTTTCAAAAACCTGCAGACAGTCAATGTGGATGAACACTAACACTTTATGATCAAATTAATTTATAAATCTGCAAAAAAAAAGACAACCAAGCATCTTAATATTATTTTCCCCCTTTTGCCCATTCCATCCATGTCTGAATCCCTGTATCCCAGGGCCCTGTTGTTCCAAGGTTGTCCATACATCATTATTTACCTCTGTCCCACTTAGTCCATGCAACCTGACTAATTGTTTTCCCATCCGCCTTCTTCTTCCATTCCCCTCCCCCTTCTTGTGTATTACCTCCCTCCCAAGCACCCAAACTATTCCTGATTCTA